TATATATATATATATATATATATCTTTATATGTAACAGTAGGTATTAGGAAATATTGTTTGATATAAAAAATTTAACAGATAATATTTTATGATATTTATCAACTTACAGGTTCAATGTTAACGCGAAATGTATAATATTTTATCATGAAAATAGTCGAAACAGATACGGGGGCCAAAACCGCGACGATGACATCCGAGGTCAAATTTGTTGTTATAAATGTTGTCAGCTGTAATTATATAAATCTGTTAATAAATCAAACTAATCAAGACTCCTTACAAATCAAAGAATTGAAAAGAGTAAGGGCACTAGGAGTCAGGTGCAGAAGACGTCGCGCAAATAATACACTTATAAAGAATGAAACTTCTTTATTCACTAAACGCGCTTACATGTTTCGACTCATTTTTTAGCCTTCCTCGGAATAAACACACACCAATATATATAAAGTAAAAGTTATCCCGTCATGGTAAGCTCCCCTACATCGAGAATTTCAATGCCAGAAATAAATAAAAAGAAAGAAAAGAAAATGAAAAAGAAGGAAAATATTAAAAATGTCAAATTAAAGAATATAGAAACTAATTTATCAAAAAACTGTATAATTAATTATCCCGAAAATAGGGACGTTCACCACGATTACAAAGTACCGTATCGCAAACATTATCATGAATAATTCAAGAACCGGTTCCTGATATGTTGGCCAGTCGGTATCAGACACAGTGAGTCACTTTTTAGTTATTAGCTAATACTAATGAAAATTGTAAAGTGATAAAAAATCTCGTCAGAACGACTTATTACTGTGTACGAACGACACTGACTGATTCGTTTTTATTTAATTCTGGCATTGAAATTCTCGATGTAGGGGAGCTCACCATGACAGGATAACTTTTACTTTATATATGTTGGTGTGTGTTTGCTCTGAGGAAGGTTCAAAAATGAGTCGAAACATGTAAGCGCGATTAGTGAATAAAGAAGTTTCACTCCTTATAAGTGTATTATTTGCGCGACGTCTTCTGCGATCGACTCCTAGTGCCCTTACTCTTTCCAATTCTGTAATTATATATTTCTAAATTGTAATATAATTATAAATTGCATATAATGATAAATAATTATAACTAGATAATTATAACTAGATTGATATAAATTATTTCAATTATTTCTCAATAAAAAATTATTATGCTTTAATTTTTTTATGCAATAATATTATTACAATAATGCTATCCTCCTCACCTGAAATATAATACTCGTCATCAAAATAACAGAAAACAAAACAAATTGAAATTGAGTGATTTTTGATTGTCGATATGGCCACAAACCAATAGCGAGTAGTAAAATTCTATTGAGACTTAAATACTGCGTTTCTAGACAGATCATCGCTTCGTTAAGTTCGGCTCAAGAATGACTGTTAAGAAATCGACGAGAGTCTTATCCCCTCCTTTTTTCATTGATCAATAGATATCTATATTCTATAATTTCCCTCTTCTAGCGTAAACTTCAGTACATTATGTAATTTTGTTTAATGCATGATATTACCATGAAATTATAATACTCGCAATTTTCCATAAATTTCGTAATGAGAGGTATACCTTTACACTATCAATTTAATACAGAAAGAAATTTCACAAATATTCTGTCATAAAAAGTGAAGCTCTTGTAAGAAAAATTAAGTAAGAATACCATAGTTGTATTTCTTATTTATTAGTGATTTTACATATTTTATTCTTGTATGTAGCTATATATATTACGTTTGGTTTTTTAGGAAAATGTTATTCATTCAATCTTAAATACCGCTATTAACTTTAACATTGTAATTCGTCTCAACGTTTATTTTATCATCCAATATATTTTATTTTAAAAAGAACAAAAATATTTTGATCAAGTTTGAACATATTAACTCTTTGATTCCAAACACTTGTGTGTATTAATTTTTGAATAGAGATATTTGCAGTAATAACAAATAAATATCAGTAAATAGTAAATTAAGACTTTTTCGTATAATTAATTTATAGAGGATATTATTATTATATTGATTAAAAATGATATAATCTTGTTTGTGTTTGTGATAGAATATTTTTTAATAATTGCAGGATATTCTTATTATATTTTCATCCTTAAGAAAGCCGCTATTCAACAGTTAATATATTTTTCGCAATTTGTATAACTCGTGATTCCCTAATAGAAAAGGTGTACCTAGAACATCTCGTCCCATTGAGACTCGCGGAATATGAACAGGTGTCCTGGCGACAGGAGGGCGGTTTTACCAGGATCGCATCCCTCGCGAACAGTTTCTCGTGCTGGATATAAACGCGACCTGTCCGCCTCCATACATCCTTGATCCGGAAATATGCTTCGCGTTTGAGGCAATTACGGGCATTAGCGTGGGTGCCGCTGCGGCTTTAATTTCACTCGCAACCGTCTCGCTTCGGCGCTTTTGAACTTCCGAAATATAATTATACGCGACGCTCCC